AGGTTGCACCAGATGGAGGAGAAGTCTCGACTCCATGGCTGCATCTGCAGCAGCAAGTTCCTGGTGGACGGGGATTACTGTGTGAAGGTAAGAGCCATACCTGGAGAACTTTTGGGGAGTTTGGTGTGTTTTTGTGGATGTCTCTGCCTGCTAACACCGAAGGGAATTATGATGGTCCAGATTAAAACCCAGAGTAGAACCATCTCCTCTGTCACCTTGGACACTGACACCTCAGTTCATCATTATTCCTGTTTTATCGTCATCAAAGTAAGCATTTCTGAGCCATCCACCCTGAGATGAGCTGAAACCAGGGCAATTCACCTGCCTTCACTCGATACTTCACTTGCAGACAGAGCCATGTGCTGGGAAGCACATGTGGCCGCATGACAGCCTTTGCTGCCCAGGACATCTCACTCTGTTTTCTCTACAGCTTTTTGCACATCTGCCACTTTGCCCTTTCTCTCTCTCATTCTCTCAATCAGCTTTCAGGATCTGAGCTGTGTGAAACGGAGTCATTCGTCAAGAGGAAAGCCAAGAATAACTGGAAACAAGTCTCCATGTTGGCTTACATTGCTCCTGAGAACCTGAAAGACGTCAACTACACCCCTACAGGCGGCCTTGTGAAATATGCAAGTGTAGCTGTCCTTCCCGAGAGATGTCTGTAAGCGGACAGATGCCATGCAGGGTCGCTGTTGAGCTGTAAAAGAAGGCCAAGGTTTAATCATCCACATAAGCAGATGTTTGCGATTGGCATAGGGAGGATAACATGGTGGGATGAATGCTCAGACTCTTACTTGTCTTCTTCCAGCTTTGGGATCGTGCTGGAGGAGATTGCGACCTCCAAAATCCTATTTGAAGGTGAGACAGAAGTATCTGGTCCCCTGTGTAAAAGCCATATGGCCCACTGTAGCTCCTGTCTGGTACTGAGTGCTCTCTGCTCCTTCCCAGAGCATCCCTGGGATATACAGCACAGTAAAGCATTTCAGCAAGATGCTTAAACCACAAACATGCAAGTAATTTTTGTCTCTATTTGATGTTCCTGTGCACTGAAGCATAAACACATCTTGCTCTACTGGAGCCCAGTAGTGTCATGCCAAATATGAGGGAAATTCATTGCAGACACAGTTTGGGTGGCTTCTCGGCAGCCTTCTCCATGCTGAGGGCTGCAGAAAGGCTGTTGGCGTGGCTCTGCACTGGATTTCCTCCGCAGCACCCTCCTGTGGCAGCAAAGCTCCATCCTGACACTCATGTTCGCACGTCTGCTGTTCAGGCTGCACTGCCCAGGAGATCATGGAGAAAATCTGCAAGCACCAATACCAGGAACCTGTTGGGGATGATTGTCCCGAAGAGCTGCTTAAAGTCATTGACCAGTGCCGAGCCTTTGACCCTTCCCAGCACCCTTCTGCTGAGGGTAAGTGTCCTGGATATCTGCTCCACAGTCCCTTTGTATCCCCCAATCAGTTGCTGCAGCACCCAGTTTGCCCCTTATTTTCCATATGAATTTGTCTGGTTTTGTGTTTTGGGATTGGTCCTTGATTCACCTTCCTATGCTAACAAGTCCCCTAACACCAGACCTTTCTTCCTCCTGTAACTGATGGCTCATACAGTTAAGGTTTATGCAATTATCACCAGGATGTTCACTTAGCATCCCATAACAGTAAGCTTTTTCTCTTGGACAGACCTGGGAGCAGGGCTGTGTGTGTTAATCCCCACTCAGATCCTGTAGATCCCATAAACTGGAGGAGCAGCCACAACATGGTGCAGGAACACTTTCTGCCTTGGGCTTTGAGCAATAAATTGCAATCTCAGGAGCTGCTCTAAGGGAGGGAAGATTTAACTGTCTCTGAATTCAGTCTGGGTTTTGACAGTGCTGAGGCCCTGGCACAGGCTGCCCAGAGAAGCTGTGGCTGCCCCATCCCTGGCAGTGTTCAAGGCCGGCTTGGGTATGGCTTGGAGCAGCCTCGTCTAGTGGAAGGTGTCCCTGCCTGTGGCAGGGGTTAGAACTGGATGAGCTTTGAGGTCCCTTCCAACCCAAAACAGGCTAGGATTTTATGATTCTCATGGCTACCCAGTTGTGTTGGCCTGAGGAGACAGTGACTCCATGTCCTGGCTGTTACCTATGACATAAAGCTGTCTTCCATTGAGGTGGGAAAGCAAAAGCCTCCACCGAACACTCCGTTTAGATGTCAGTTTCGATTAATGCTCTTGCTGTGTTCTGCAGAGATCGTGGATGCACTGTCTGACCTGGAGAGAAGCAGAAACCAAGGAAGCTAACTGGGAAGCATGGGTGGGCAGCTGAAAGCAGCTGGGAGCTTTGGAGTGACCCAAAGGGGAGAAGCAGCAGACAGCGTGCTACTCGCCCCCCTTTCCTGCTCACAGAGACTGCTTGTTCAATATACTTATGTTTGAGACCCTCACCCTTACAGGGGTCTGAGGCGAGGGCACCCTGCCACAGGCTTTACCCTGGAGATGTTGGCTCCAGGGGCTACAAAGGGGGGGACGCAAAGGGAGGCTGGCAGGAGCAGCCGGGGAGACGTGAAGGGAGCTAGAGGGAGGGCACAAGGCTGCAGCCCCGCCGCTGCCTGAGGGCTGCCTCAGTGCCCTCTCTCGGTGACTCCCGCCGCCATGACAGCGGCCCGCACTCTGTTTGAATGCGCTCGAGTTCCCGCTCTTTTCGCCGCGGGGCGGCTCCCCCGATGGAAACTCGTTTCCCCTCCCCCCCGCGGCTGTCAGGGGTCTCACAGCCCAATCAGCCGGGCCCTCCGCTCGGCTCTCTAGCCAATCAAAACAAGCCCTGCCTTCTCGCCCCTTTTCCTTTCCACCTCCCTGCTGTCGGCCAGACGGACAGATCTGCTGGCCAATGAGAAGGCGGGCCTGAGCCCGGCTTGCCCTATAGAAGGGCACGTAGAGCTCGTATTTAGCCAGTAGGGCGGCAGAGACTGGGCGGCGCGGAGCTCGAGCGAGTTGTGGGGGTGTCTCCATCGGTCGGTGAGTGGCGGGCCCGGCCCGGCCCGGCCCCGGCTTCCCCCGAGGGTGCGGCTGGACCTCCGCCGCGGGGCAGGCCGCGCTGGAGGAGTGCGGGGCCTGCTGCTGGTTGGTCTCTTCGGGGCAGGGCGGCGGGAGGCCTGTGTGATGGCGGGCCGCAGCCTGAGGAGCTTGCTGGATGGTCCGGGCTGGCGTCCCGAGCGCGGGGGGGGCCCGCGGCTGCTGGAGGAGAGGTTTCCCCTTCCGGCGCCGCTCGTGTGACTGGTTCTTGGTTAAAACAAGCGAGCCTTGTAAGAAGCCAGAAATAAACCGGTGCTTGTGGAGCGTGTGCTGAGTTTTGGGTCGTGTTTGGGTCCTTTTGGTTAACTTTATGTTAAAGCAGACGCGGCGTTGTAACAGCTGGAGATGTAGAGCAGGGTTTGCCCGAGCAGGAGAGGAGGCCCTGCGCCAGGGGAAGCTGGTGCTTCAGTTAGGCCGCCAAGTCAGTGCTGCAGAGGGTCTGTGGAGCCTCCTGGCTGTGTCTGCTGGAAGCGCTGGGGCGTTGCTCGTCTGGGCCAAAGTCTGTTGGTGGAGATCTTCCGTCTGCGGCTCTCCCAGGGACCCCTGGAATCCTGGGTGGAGGAAGTTCTGGCTTCTGTGCCCTCCGGAAAACTCCAGGGTGTCATGTTGGAAATGGTGTGTGTTGAGACATATGCAGAGTTAGTTAGCCCACAGTGGTGAATGTGGGCGGTGTTTTCCAGTCTCAGGGTTAATTTACAAGGAAGATAAAGAGTCTGTTGTCCTTATAGGTGACAAGTTTATCATAAACGTGAGTTGAATGCTGGAGAAGCAGTATTTGAGCATTGAATATTATATGTGGACTTTACGATTGTTCTGCCGAGAGGTGACATTTAACATCTGGGTTTGGCCTAACTTATGCTTAATTGCTAATTAGGATAAGAATTATAAAATGATTCTTAAGTTAGGATTTCTTAACAGGTCTATAGAAATATTTGAGCATTGCCAGTGATACTCAAATAAGTCGTTCTAGTAATTCTTGTATACATTTTCTGGGTATTCTTTCTTATTCTGGGTACTCAAAGCAGTCTTTGCTCTGTTTGCACAGTACCTAGCTTAATAAATCTTAGTGTCTGCTTTGGATTCGTAAGTGATGGTAAAGGTCCTCAATTCCCAAGGCCTTTCAGGCTTATGGTTGCCTAAGTATTTTTTTTGGAGAATGTGAAAAGTCTTTCAGCTGTTTGTGAAATGTAATCCATGTACCTCCTTCAGAAAAGGAGTATTTTATTCTTTTACACATTTATTTATCCAATTGGTAAAATAATCTTGAACTTTAGTGTTGTGAGACTGCCTGTAGAACAGGGTGACTAGAGTAGCCTGAGACTGAATCTGGACCCACAAATGCTGGTGCTGTAGGTAGCTTGCTGTCTGTGACATCTTGGATGTGGGTTCTGCTGTGATACCCTTTTGGGGTTTGTGTGGTGGTGGTGAATATAAGGTACCTGAAAGACCTGTGAAGTAAGCTGTGGGTATGGATCACACTGCCCTGTTATACAGAATCTTATTTAGAGAAACTTGAAAATTCAACCTGAGAGCAATGAAACAAAGGACTGCATTGTAGAGCTTGTTTCTGGCTGTCTGTGGGTGTTTGTGCAGTGCCTCTCACAATGGAGAGTCTCTCATTACTTCCAAACTCTGTTCTCCACAAGAATTTACTGTCAAATTATGCCAGCAAAAAATCCTTAACTTTCCATATTCATTCAAAGGCTTACTTAAGTTGATTTTGTGATGTGCCTTTGTGCTAGCTGCTGTTAAGCCAAAGACTTCTGTCTGCTGTGCCCACTCATGTACATGTGTCAACTTGAGATGATTTAGCTCTACTGCAAAGGGAGAAAGTCTTCTCTGGAGTCTGAATTCTAAAGGCTTTGTAGTCACTTATTGCTTATTCTTGCTACCATCAGTCTGGAAGTAGAGTGCACACTTGCAAATTAATACTGTTTTTCTTCAACTCTTTGCAGAAATGGCTCAAGAAGAGATGGAAGTTGATCTCCAAGCAGAGGCTGGTTCCTCTACAGAGAATTCCAACACACTTTCCACAGAGCCCGCTGGTCATGCTGTGTTGTCATCCCAGGCACTGGCCCTCAGTGAAGGAGATAGTGCTGCAGCTCTTCTTGCTGATGACACTGTTGTCACACCAAATGCTGGTACAGAGGAAGCAGCTGCTGAGCCTGACCCGCAGTTGTGTCCTGTCACGGCTCCCAGTGTACTCCAAAGGCTGCAAGGGGTACAGGTCATGCATCTGTGGGTCAGGAGAGGTCGCAGCCACCAGCGACTTGGTGGTTCCCAGAGGACAATCAGTGGCAGGTAAAGCAGAGATGAAGTCGGGTCTGAACACACTGTTGTTAAGTCTGGCATCATTTAAAGCTACCTTGCTTCCTGGCTTATAAATAGCCCAGCTCAGTCCAGGTGTGTAGCTGTGGCCAAATTCTGGGCTCCTCATGTACCTTTTAAGCTGAAGAATAGCACAGACTTTCTGACCTCTTCTGGAGCGATCTTTGCTCATGTTAAGTAAATTTCCCCTTTTTCTTGTGTTGATTCCTGAACCCTTCTGCATTTTCTGTCTTGCTTGTAGAGCTGCTCTCACTGTTCCCTCTGCTCTGGCAGATTCCTGCTGTGCTGACTCTTGGCAGTTCCAGACAGCTCACAGGAGCTTGTGCTCTGTTTTGCATTTCACTTTTGATTTGGGGACTACCTGATTACATTTTCTTGTGCCTATTTTGGCAAAAACTTTCCCAAACATACACACTAATATTTTCCTGTAGGGGGTTATATTTCTTTACCTCCAGGCAAAGACAAAAATACTGTGTTTAATGCTGTCTGTGATGGGTGTAAAAGTTGATGAGTGCAGATGCTCTGCAGCCAGTAAGAAACTCCCATTACTGGTTTGTTTGGGTTTTGTCTCATCTTTGTAGCTTTTGTAAATGCCAAAGGTGAAATTTTAATTAACTGGAGCATTGCTTTTAATTCAGGGAGACCAAGAACTTGTCTTCTCCCAGATCATTGATCATAACTACTGTTTGCCCTCAGATTGTGTATGAAGATCACTGTAGTTCTTTTGGGCTAGAAGGCAACCTGAAAAACTTCTTTTGAATCTGATGGATAATTGAAATGATATTGAACTGCTGAGGGAGAGAGGAAGGTGTTTCAATCCAGGGATGGATAGGAAATAGGAAAGTAGACAGACTAGGCACAAAGTGGTCAATAGAATGAAACTTTGATACAAGTCTTGTGCATCTAATATTACCAGTGACTATAGGAACTAGGTGTGAGTTAGGATTGGAGGTACTGATTAGGAGTTCCTTAGGCTATTAGTGAGCAACAGTTCTTTGCTTTTCTTCTCTCCAACCCACAGCACCCAAAAAGAATACAGTATTGTTGTTGTAACAAGGAGATTTCCTTTGAGCTGAGCAAAGTGAGTGGCTGCTGTATGATACTGCTGGTTGCTCATAAAGCAGATGATTGATTTGGATTGCCCCTCTACCAGAGAAGGTCTGTCTTTAACTTGGATACCTTGCTATTGTAGCCACAGCCTAGGAATTTTAACCACAAACAAGCATGGAGAAGCATGTGGAGTCTTTAGCTTCTCTGAAATAACTCTGGCTTTTGTTTCTTGCTTTTCTGCACTCAGGGCAGCATTGGACAGTTACTTTGGATTCAGCAGGACCCAGCAGCCAGCTGCAGGACAAGTTCCGCATATGGAGCCCTTGCATACTGCAGGGGACAGCCAGGAACAGAGCTCAGATGAAGCAATAGATTTAAATGAGACTCAAAGCAGCAGCTCTACTGAGGAAGAGGAGGAAGAGGAAGTGCTGGGGGCTGCAGCACTGCCCAGTGCTATGGCATCAGCCCCGGAGATACCTCTGACAGGTAGCTTGGGAGGTTTGTGATATAATAGAGCTGTGTAGACACTGATTTTTGGAAAGTCATTTTACTGTTTCAAAACTTGGTGGGTAAATCCTTTTGAGCTTCAATGATCAAATGCTCAAAGATCATTATGCCCACAACTGACGGGAGCAGGTTGCTGCCACAAGCCTTTCTGCCAAGTTTCCAAGAGCAGTAGCAGCAATGGGAGATTGCTACTATAATGTTAAATACAGTCTTTTGCTGTTAGCAGGATGCTACTTATAAGTAATCCTGGAAATGTTCAGAATAAGTTTAATTTTAGTTATTTACCATGCTTCTGCTATTAGACTTTATCAAGGAGTATTGTTGAAGACACTAGGTTGCACCTTGGAGATCAGAAGTGCTTTCAGAGAATGATCTGAGTATTTTTTTTTTTAATTATTTGGGATTTTGGTCTGTTTCAGTTGAGGGTTTCTTTTGTTCCTGTAACTTCTCATGACACACAGCTGAGGAGATAGAGGTGCTTAGGGCAGTGGGCTTTTTGTTTGTCTGTTGCCTTGGCTTTTTCAGGCTCACAGTCCTGTAGTTAAATGCATGTTCACAAGGTGCTATGCACTTCAGTGACATTGTTTGTCATGAGCATATATAGTTTTATATGAGTGACAAATAATTAACTTGCTAGTCAAAGATATCGATGCCCAGAGAGAACAAGATTAGTGGGTTGTTTTATTTTGTGGTTTGTGTTTTTTTTGTTTGGGTTTTTTTTTGTTTTCTGTGATTTTGTTGTTGTCATTGGGTGTTTTTGTTTTTTTTTAATTCAGTCTCTAAGGAATGCCCTTATACCTCACTCTCTGCCCTTAGTTTTGGTTTTGCCTACCTTGACATGTATTTTTGAGGGTGCATCTACGACATGTCTTTTGAACAGACTTATTCCGCTTGCTCTGAGCTCGTCTTACATGTGACAGGAGCTCAAGCTGTTCAGTGCTGTCTAACGTTGTGTGACCATATGGTCTCTGTTGGGTTTTCTGGAATTCCCTTGTCCTGTTTTCTGCTTATATAAGCCACTGGTTCCCCTCCAGTCCAGAACTGTGGCAGCTGAAGTTTTATTGACATTAGTGAGGGTTAGGTGATACGTCTCCACTGGACTGAGAATATCTGTCTCTAATACTAAATGTGACTAATAATTTTCTTGTTTTGTCAGGACATGGGGGGAGACTGTGATTTCTGCTCCTTTTTCTGTGTGCTCGTGGTGATAATCCAAACATAGTGTTTCTGCATGCCCATGCTTCAACAGAAGGGCTAACGGTGTCCTACCCCAAAAACATATGGCCCAGCAGAACTGGTAGTTCAGACAACTGCCAGCTGGAAAAGTGCTTAAGTCAGGGTGAATGGACAGATAGCGTATGGTAAATACCTTCTTGGCATATAACATATGCACACTTAGATCCCTTGGGAAAATAACTTATGCATATTGGTGTCTGTCATTTTCTGAGCATGATGATGCAGGGGTGTAACCTTACATCAGCCTAATTATAGACCTGTATGCAGATATGCTTGTTTCAAGCATATCAAAGTCCCATTAACAGTTTTGGTGTTCAAAAGCCCTCTCCTTTTTTACTGAAATTCTGCTGGTTTTTATAAACAAAAACAAAGTTCTTCAGCTCTGCTGTTGAGAAGTGGAAGGGCTTACACATAGGTTGCCTAACCTCCAGTATCCAGGACACTGATCTGAAACTCTGTATGTAACATGTGCCATCACTGCACTGCTTACTTTATGCCTTGATGATTTCAGATCAAGTCAAGGAGAACTTTTCTCCCCATTATGTATTGGTTCATCTAAGCAATGCTTTCTTTAGCTTCCATTCAGACCCAAGCAGAGCCACCTCAAGAGTTGTTGCACGCTTCTTCAGTACACAGAAGTCATGAAAGTGAGGAGGCTGAAGTCCAGGTAAAGCAGGTAAGGTGACCTAAATGCCTTTGGAGCCATATTAAATATGGTAAGTACTGCATTTGCGTAGAAGTTTTGTGTGTGCTTGTTTTTAATTTTTGATCCTAGAGAGTGCCGCTAAAGGGGCTGGAGCCATCTGTTCCTGTTGCAGCACTGGATGAGGAGGAAGGGGATACCTGTGCAATTTGCTTTGAGCAGTGGACCAGCAGTGGGGACCACCGTCTCTCAGCACTGCGGTGTGGACATCTGTTTGGCTACACATGCATCAAAAAGTGGCTCAGGGGACGGGAAGGGAAGTGCCCCCAGGTAAAATGCACATTTATGTGTACTGGAGATGTGCTGTTGGGTAACTGTTACTGCAGGCGTAGTTGCCATAACTATTACAACTGCTTACTGCATGAAGAATCCACCTTTGCCTACTGTCAGAAATAACAAAAATCATAATTTTGATGTAACTGTGCCAGGAACAACTAGTACTACTTTAGAGGGATAATTTTGATTTGGATTTTCTCCCTAAAGTACAGCATTTGTAAGCAGTAGACTTGGAAGTTTGAGAGTTCCAGCAGTAAACCTGTAAATGCTTTCATGACACTGCACTGTTGTCTTGAGATGTGGGAATGGCGGATTCCTAGAACAGTGAACTGAGCATAAAGAACTATTGGGCAAGAAAACTGTTTGAGAACTGTTTTCAGTTAGTTAATCCTCTGGTTTGAACTGTGTTTCCTTTTGCAGCCTTTAAGCAGATCAGGTTGTTGAGGTAGCTTGCAGAGAATAAACTGAGAAACAAGTAATGTCCCTCTGCAAGATGTGGATCTCCTTTTTTTTTTTTAAGGAGCTCTTTTCAGTTTCCATGGGTGATACTGATCTCTTTTGATTAGGTCTGTGCTTCTCTGTTCTGGGCTCCCATTCCTCATCCCTTCTCTCCAGAAAGGAATATTGACAAAAATCAGGTCAATGAGTACCTTGGAAATAGGATTCAGTTCTGCTGCTTTCCAAGTTGGTGGGTGGAAACCCAAGATTTCTTTGGCTTTGTTATTTTGGGAGCTTCCATAGCCCTGCTTGGCTTTGTGCAGGATTCCCTTCTCTTAGCAAGAAACCTCCTGTTGATATGCACTGTGATGCAACCTGATGATTCACTCTTGCCATAGAAAAGGCCTAAACCTTTTTTTTTTCTCACCCTTGTTAAATTTGTGTAAGCTTTTCTTCACCCACTCCAGGCCCAGGCAGAATTCTCAGACCTTCCTGGCATCTTTGCTCTGGAATTTTGTGACTGGTTTCTTCTTGAACCCTACCAACTCCTAAGGGATGCCTGCTCCTTCTTTCTTCCAGTGATGCAAATACTGAAAAGTTCCTAGGAGAACTTGCCCTGGGGAGAACCTTGCAGCTAAATCATATTCCCTTCATTTTCAGTTGCCATCCTTTGTGACTGGTCATTCTCTGTTTAATGGCACAGAGTTGCTGTGCGTGGTGCTCTGATTACCAAGTGGCTGGAGTATGAGTTACTGTGAAATTGCAGCATTCCTGATCCTGCCAGTGACAGCTGCTAGCTGCCAGGAAAGCTGTCTTATCCACTTACTGCTCTGCAGGGCAGTTCTTGCCTAAAGAAGGGGGATTGTCTGATCTGAAACTCCTGCCTGTAACATCCTTTGTGCCACCAAACAGAAGTCTGAATTTTAAGTGCATGTAGTAATTTAATGTTCAGCAGAGGTTACTTGATCTATTTCTGCCTCTTTTCTGATCAATGAAGTATGTTTTCAAAACGGTAAGCTTGCAGGGGTTGTAATTTCCTCCAAGTCCCAGCTCATGGGGAGGTATTATCTCTTCTTTTTAGATGACTAAGGTACTAAATGGTCACAGCCAGATGCACAAGATTATTGGAATATCTAACTTGCTGTGCATCACTGAAGTCAGTGGGATGTCTGTATTTTGTACAGACACTGGAATGCTCTTACAGATTTTGGCCTATAGTATTTGATTAAAGGAATATAGTATGTAAATAACAGAGTTGGGAAGTGTACTCAGGGGTTCCTAAATCCTTATCTGTTGGCCAAGCAGCCAGTCTTAATGTTTTCAAAACAGAGGTTGGACTGGTGTTTTGATTTAGATCTTGCTTCCCCACTTTGTCTGATCTTGTTTGTAATTCACATGACTGTGTTGCTTTAGCAGAGTGAGTTTAGTGGGAAGCAAGGATATGCGTTACTGAAAGTGCAGTAGGGTACATGACCTAAACTACAGTTGTAGCTGTGATTAGAGCTCTGGTGTCATGAGGGAAAGAATGTGCTCTGTTAATGTTTGTGATTTTACGAATTTGTTGTCAAGTAGACAATCCCTTCTTTCAAAGCTACAAGTTTCTTTTTCAAAATAATACCTCTAAACTTGTGGGGATGTGTGGTTCAGATAGTTAAATTAGAATCCTAGAATGGTTTGGAGTGGAAGGAACCTTTAAAGCTTATTCAGTTTAACCATCTGCCATGTGCAGGGACACCTTCTGCTAGACTGGGTGGCTCTAAGCTCCATCCAGCCTAGTCTTGAACACTGCCATGGATGGGACAGTCACAGCTTTTCTGGGCAGTCTGTGCCAGGGCCTCAGCACCCTCACAGTGGATACACAAGAAAGAACTTCTTCCTAAGATCTCATCTCAATGCGCGCCCCCCCCCCCCTTGTCAGTTTAAGGCCATTCCTCCTTGTCCTGTCCCTACAGGCCTTTATCAGAAGCCCCTCTCCAGGTTTCTTGTAGCCCCCTTAGGCATTGGAAGACTTGTAATTCTTGTAGATGACCTAAACTTGTCTTTTTATTTCAGTGCAATAAGAGAGCAAAATCTTCTGACATTGTGATCCTTTATGCTCGCACTCTGAAAGCGCTGGATACCAGTGAGCAAGAACAGATGAAAAGGTATGCAGCCTCCACATAAAGATACATCCTCGCTGCCTGTGTGCCACTGAAAGCTGCAGCTCAGCTTCTACTTCGTGCTTTAATTTCCTATATTATCTGCAGCAATTTGTGCATTCCCTTGGGAATTACCATAAGCATGGCTGGCTTCGCAATGCAAGGCCTTTCGGTGTTGCGTGTCTCTTGCCTGGAAGGAGAGTTTTCTTTTGGAGCAGAGTGCTTGAGTTTGAGCTTTGCAGCAATGAAATAGCAAAAGCTCTCTGTATCCTGGAATGTCGTAATAGCAGAACATGCAGAGTTGTTGCCAAAAAGCCTTATATTGCTAATTCATCATTAGAGAAGTGAGGCATAGTTAGAAATGCAAGGGGGTTGAAGAGCTGACCTTTCTTACATGCATTAAACAGAGTAATCTCTCATATGAATCACTTTCTGTCTCGCTTTGTCAGACTCTTCACGTAGCTTTATTTATGAGAGGTCAGCAAGCATTACTATACCTGTGCCTACCTCTTCAACTGAAATGCAGACTTTTTATTGAAAAAAGTGAAAAGCAGGTATGAAAATGGGACTGATTTCAGTAAGATGCTGTCACAGATACTATTCTGAAATCGGAAAGCTGTGAGTATCAGTTCTCCTGAATCTTGGTGCGAATAAAATTTAATTGGGGTCGACTTCACTGCTGTTCTTTCAGTTCAGTCTTTTAACAGAAACTTCAATCTCCTGGTAATTATTGATCAGAAATGGTCAGCGATTAACTATCGCAAAGGGAAAAATACCTCTTTTGTCCAGATTGCCACTGCCTGATGGTGTTTGAACTCTTTAAAAGGGTTTGTTTTACTGGATTGACACCGCGAAACAAGCGGTAAATAAGTTTTGTGGGTTTTGGTGGTTTTTTTCAAAAGCATTTGGGTGTTTAAATCTTGGCTCTCACAGAGAAGCAGTTGTCTAACTGCTTCTGTGTCTTGTGTTAGTCTTGCTGTAGCCCTGCACCTCCTCCGCTTCCTGTTTTTGACTGCCTGCCAGTCCAGAGAAGCTGCTGGCAATGGCTGCTTTGTGGCACACAGCCACGAGTGGAGGACAAATGTGAACTCTGCATGCATGCATCAATATTGTTTGCTCATAGATTTGAATTAGGTACAGGATCATGCTTTTTTTTTTTCCTTCGCATTCAAAAAAGCCAGCCCTCAGGCTCTGGGTACTTATGTAATGTGATGGTTATATACAGCATCTTACCTATTTCTTCTGCAGCAAAAGTAAAAATCATGTGAAGCTACAGGGAAAGGACAGAATTGTCTGCCTGGCAAACATGCAAGACTAAGTCTATATATTTAGAAGGGACTTAGGCAAGCTAGATCTCCCTGCACATGATCTACTGAAATAACTGGAATATTCCAGCTTTTGAAGTGCAGAATGCAGTGGTCAACATTGCAGGCCTATTCTTTTATATGTAAAACCTATATGAAAGATACTGAAGTATGTTATCAAAACTGCTGCTGCTAAGTGGTGTGTATGCACTTCTAGGCTCAAGATGAGGTAGTAAATATGGCTTCTGTGTGGGCATTCACAGATAATTTGTCTGTTTAGTTCTGGTACAGCTCTTTTCCTGAAATAGAAAATTAGCTACTGGTAGTAGAAATAAGCTTGCAGATTTTGCTGTGTTATGACTTGCTTTATTACTGGCATGCTATATGTCATGAACACTGATAGTATAGAATTTGCTAAACTGTTTCTATGGGGGGGGGGAACCACAGTTTGTTTTCTTTTCTTTTCTTATATTAAATTAGTGCATTTGGAGGTGATGAGAAAAGTTGTTGTTTCTATGGAACAATACTAGAGTGAGTCATTTGGTACAATTGTGTAACTGAGAACATCTCAAGGTAAATGTACTGGATGAGTGTGGTCCCAGATATTATTTTACTTTTGAATTTACCTGAACAGGACTTGTTCTGGGGATAAAACCTGAAGATCAGAGTTGACAGCTAAGGGAAACATTCTAGGTAATACCTAGTCCTAAGGATTCCTTATCTCTTGTTCCTCCAGCTCCCTAAGACAGGAGCAAATGTTGCGGAAACAGGCAGAGCTGGAATCTGCACAGAGCCGTCTCCAACTGCAGGTTTTGACTGACAAATGCAGCAAGCTCCACAAACAAGTTCAGGTGAGTCTCGTCCTGCTAATGCAGAGAGGATTCCCTTCCTCTGCTTCCCTTTGAGAAGCAAAGACAGGCTTCCAGTTTTAGTAAGCACCGGGATTTAGTAAATTTAACTGGTCAAACATCAGGAGTATCCTAAACATCCCAGGTTGGCATATTCATGTGCGCTACAGAGCACTGACCTGCTTCTTTGTGTTTCTAAGACTTGATCAAAGTTGCAAGTACAGCTTAGCAGTGGAATGTTGCAGCTGCTGATCTTGTAGGTTCCTCCTTTAGTGCTGTATTACCAGGCCTTCCCTGGCACCACAAAACCTAGCTTACTATCTTAACTGCATCAAAATAAGCTTTGAAACCCTCTATAGTACTAGAAACCTAAATGTGACCTATTATCACTAGTTAATCAAGAGCCTTTGAGGACAGGTATGGTTATATGCAAATCCATGAGAAAACAACAAAAAAATCACTTTTTTTTTGTTTTTTTCTTTTCTTTTTTTTTTGGTGAAGGTCAATTAATGTTCTATTTAAGCACCTTCTGGTGCCATGGGACCTAGCCTGTCAGCTGGACTGCCTGTGTGTGTGCACTGAGCAGCTGTGAAGAGGCACCTCTGTCCCCTGAGAATACAAATCACTGAAAATAAGTTACTGCTTCCTTTCTGGTTCTGGCAATACCATGAGATTTTTGTAACCCATCATAGCTGGTTTTGCAGGATTCCTGTAAATCGTGGACTCTGCTGGTGCTTCCAGCCATGAATTCTGGCATGTTCCACCAGTGCTAGGTTTTCTGAGAGCCTGTTTCATTACAAGTTTGTTACTTTTTTTTGTTGTAAGAAGTAGATGATTTCTAATCTCTCACTGTTTAGTAACTCAATTTCATGCTTTTCCCTACTTCTGGATTTTTTTTAATAGCCTCGGCTATTCATATCTGCAGAAAAAGCAACACCCTCTTTGCTGCAGTCTTCCTGTGTGATGTGAGACAAGGCTTTATAGTTTTCCGAAATTCCTGTGTGATGCTTTATGCTCATCAGAGCTAATAAGAAAATTGGACCACTTCAAATTTTGCCTTAAGGCAAAATGTGAATAAGATGAAACTGCAGGTCCGTAATATCCTCCTTCAATTCTTTTGGTGTTAAATGATAGAGTATGCAGACTAATAGAATTGAAGTTGCATGTTATAAAGATTAAGTACCCTGTGTTCTTTAAGCTGTGCTTCAGTATTTATACTGCATTTGTCCTTGTCCTATAGTGGTGATTAGTGGGAATGCTGGAAGCAATTTTAAGGTGCTTTTTCATGCTATGAATAAACAATTTGCTGGGGAACAGAAAATCAGCAGGAAGTCTGGAATAAGTCTCTTTAAGTTCTTTGGTTATAGTTTGAACACATGCCTAATGAGTTTCTTTCTGATCAGAGGTCATCTAGTAAAGCAGCTACTTGCATGAAATGGTTTAGGTTGGAAGGGACCTCTGGAGGTTTCCAGCCCAACCCTAGGTGTCTTTAAGCTTCATATCAGCTAGGAAATACTAATACTCAAAACTGTTCTGCATTTGTTGTAGCTGGTGGTTTTTCTTTCCTATTCATTGTGCTCTCCTGCTTCTACTTGTCCTGCATGCTTCTCAGGAAGACTTCTGCTCTATATCCTCTTTTTTTCCCCAGCTGGTGTGACTGTTTGTTCATTGCTACAAGTACAAGCTGACATTTGGAAGGCAGTTGTAGCATTTGCAGACACAAGTGTGCCCTAAAGGCCCTTGGTTAACACCAGGCAGGCTCTGTAAGATACCTCAAGGAAGGTGCAGGCTTCCATTACCAAAAGAGCATTCTTCTGAGCACAATTACTGGAATTTGTTCTGCAGTACAGCATTTTTAATTGCCTTGGTAATGCATCTCCAGCAAGGCTTCCTGGTTCTGCTGGCTTCAGCCATTATGTTTAAATGGAAACATGGTACTAATAGTCCTTGTGGTTTTAATTATGCCTGGTTTCCTTGTTAATCACTTGTGTAAAAATTGAATGTTGAGTGCAGGTGACAAGGAGAGTTTTGGAAAGTCCCCGGAGCAACAAATCATTTGGATATCTTCTGATCCTTGGTGGTGGTGTCCTCCTGCCTTTTAGAAGAAAGTGACTTTTAATCAAAAATTTAATAAACTAATTATTTCTAAGTAACTTGTGTTTTCACAGACTGCTTCTGCTAAGCCCAAAGCTTTAGCATCCTGGCCACTCCCACACTTCCTCTTCCTTCCCCAGCTGTTTTGTCTTTGCTTGCTCTAATGGGATCATCTTGACTCTTTAAGCTTTCTTTTTTCTTTTTAATTATTACATTTTTTATTCTCTTGTGGAATTTGGAGTGAGCTCAATGCAGAATAGCTCAGACCTCTGTCAAATACTAGAATTGCTCTCCTCTTGAGCTGTTTCCAGAAGTTACAGGTCTTGATGATAACTATTAATATAGAGTTTGATCTTTGATCTTTCCTCTTTGAAAATGCCTTTGCATCGACATGAGTTAAATGAGAGTGGCTGGTTCAATATTGAAGCTAGCTTGCAATCTAATATTCATAATATCACTCTTGCAGCCCTTAATTGTTTTAAAATTACATAGTATTTCAAGCATAATCTATGTTGCTCAGACAACAGAAAGCAAACAGTGATTTTTCCTAATGTATACACTCCCTGTAATATCCCTGGTGTTCTGTGCCCTCTGGTTTTGCCCTTGATTACAACAATCTGGTCAAAATATTTGGGGGGGGGGGTATTTTTAGTTGACTCACAATGTGCCAGTGCCACTGCTCACACACCTACCCCCTGATGATCTCTGGAAGGAGGAATTCTAGGAATACCTTGTTGGTGATGGAAGCAGTCCTAGCTGTGTCTCTGCTGTGTATCCCTGAGCATTTATCAGTTGAGGTGGAAGAAGGGGGGAGGATGTGGTGGCAGAAAACAGGGCTGGAGAATTGTGTTGTTCCTAGAATGTGTTTCCCAGTTTTTCCAAGAACAGGGTCATCTTTGTTAAAAAGACTAACTTGTTTCCTGCAATGTCCTTTATGTTGAAACTTAGGCTTTTGTTTGTTGTTGTTTTTTATATGGGGTATTCTGGAAGTTCTAGAAAATGGTTTTAATTGACTTATGGTTTAGCTGCATGTAATATTTGGCAGTGTGTTCGCTTCTCAACAGCATTGATCTGGTAATAATTACTTCTGGGTTTCATGTGTTGTCCAAGAGTCCTTTCTTTCCTAGGGTCAATACATACAATAACAGACTTTAAGCATGTTCTGCCAGAAGTTGCATAGCGTTCAAATGTCTCTGTTTCTCACTGTCATAGTTGGAATGCTTTGGAATCCAGCATTTTAGGAACTGCATGGAAGTGGGGACCATATTCTTCCTCTTCATATAAGAACAAACAGCATTGGAGCGTGTGGAGTAGGTAGCACAGACTGTTGCATTGCCAGTGGCGCATTAGATTTATTGGGTGTTTTCCTTTGCAGGAGCTGAGGGCTCTGATGGCCCAGCACAATGCAAATGTTTCCGAGCAACCTGTCAGCTCCCGTATCTGCCTTCCAGGCAGCCTTCCCTCCAGCCAAAGCCAGTGCAAGTACAACCTGAAAAAGACTTTCTTGGTGTCTCAGTCTGGGAAATGCAGAGTAATGGCATACTGTGACTCGCTGAGCTGCCTTGTGGTATCACAGCCTTCTCCAGAGTCTACTTTAATTCCTGGTAATTAAGCAAGTCATGACTTGGGGGTTTCTGGGTGAAAGTTAAATGTTTTCTGCTTGCTCCCTGCTGCTCTGTTTCACCTTTGCATGTGCCTTGTAAACTGGGAATAGGATCATAGAACCCTAGAATGGTTTGGGGTGGAAGGGATCTTAAAACTCACCAGTTCCAACCATCTGCCATGGGCAGGGACACCTTCCGCTAGACTGGGTGGCTTTAAGCCCCTATCCAACCTGACCTTGACACTGCCAGGGACGGGGCAGTCACAGCTTCTCTGGGCAACCTGTGCCAGGGCCTCACCACCCTCACAGGGAAGAACTTCCTAAAATCTCATCTCAGTCTTCCCTCTGTCAGGTTAAAGCCATTCCCCCTTGTCCTGTCCCTACAGGCCCTTGTCCAAAGCCCCTCTCCAGGTTTCCTGTAGCCCTTTTAGGCACTGGAAGCTGCTTTAAGGTCTCCATGGAGCCTTCTCCAGGCTGAACAAGCCCAGCTCTCTCAGCCTGTCCCCAAGCAGAGGTACTCTGGACTTGCTACAACAGCTCCATGTCCCTCTTGTGCTGTTGCTCCAGAGCTGGATGCAGGACTGCAGGAGTTCCTTACAAGAGGGACAAGACTCCCTGTAGTTCATATAACTCCTGCACTGCCAGCTTCTGCCTCGTGAGCTTGTGTCTGGTACTCCTTGCAAAGGTGGGTCCCCTGAAAGAACAAGGGGACAGCAGTGGAGGTTCCAGTGCTTGAGCAAGGAACACTGGTCTCCAAACTGTAGTTGTATTGATCCAAATGCAGCTGAATTGTCAGCACTCAAAAAAAAAAAAAAAAACCAAAAAAAACCCCAAACCACAAAAACCCAAACCAACAAAACAAAAATACCAAAAACCACCACACATACCCCTCCCTCCCCCCCTGAAAAAAAAACCAAACTAAACCAGAAAAATGATAGAGGCACTGTTTGCCAGTATAGAAATAGAAAGCCAAGAAGTTGTGGGCATCCCTCATTTTGTTGGTTTTGTCTTACTATTATGGCCGGGGGCAAGAGGCTTGTCACCTGAACAGCACCAACTTGTCCGTATAATTTTAGCATTAGGAGTCTGGGAGAGTTTATTAGCAAAGTACTTCAGTGCTTTCTGAATTATAAGACATTATTGGGTTAATGGCTTTGAGATGAAATGCCTTATCTTGGCCTAACAAAATTGTCTTCTGCAGTCAACTGATCTTATTTTTCTGGCTTTTGGAGCCAGGGAATGAATCTCTGAATGGAGGCTTTGTGGTGACTCTGTAACACACAGGTTAAGTTTACCTGTAGCCATTCTTTGCAGTGATGCTTGTTCTCTTAAATAGCCATGTAATCTTGCTGTATATGTTTTCATCTAGGCAAGAATGTCTGCAGAAACTGGCTAAAGGGCAGCAGGCTTTTGGAACAAGAATTGTAACACTGACATGGAATTTCTTCTTGCTGGCTGGGATCCTTAAGGATTTAGCCCTTTTGTCACTTGAACTAACGAAAGATTTGTGGTAGCTCTTGTCCAGAACAAGAAGTAACTTCTGTGTGTTTATCCTGCCACGGGCTTCGGTACAGACATCATAGTTCTGGCACAGAATTGCTAATTGTACTTCTGCAGTAACCTGCTTTACCCTTTTTCTCTGACAGGTTGTGGTGTTAAGATGCTGAGTGTGGCCGATCTGAGGAGCAGTCAGTACATCCCCATCCACAGTAAACAGATTCGGGGCCTCGCTTTCGGTGGTCGAGCAGATGGCTTGCTGCTCTCTGCTGCTCTGGACAATGCTGTTAAGCTTACCAGGTGAGCCCTGCTGCAGAGAGCAACCTGTCCCAGTGGAGCTCTGCTCTGTGCAAGAGGCTTCACTGGATTTTGTTGTCTTGTTGAAAAGGCCTAGCAACACTTGCCATTCTTTCCAAAAGATGCTGCTGAAGTGAGATCAGGTCATGTATTCTTCCTGCATGCAGGAACTAACAGGGAGAAAAACTTGTTCACACTTTCAAACCTTTTAGGTGGAGGTGTTATGGAGCTACCAGTCTGTGATACTTTCCCATGGAGAACTTGGGGGGGGGGGGGGGGAGTAGTTCAGCATGGATTGGCCAAGTTGTGTTGAGAACTAACATAGTTTAATGTATAGATGTGAAATTTACTTTCCACTTTGTTTTCTGTTACTGCAGGGAAATGTGAAACATGGGAACTTGTATGGCATAAAACAGGAACAAGGGATGTCTAGGTTGGGTACTTTCTTCCCTGTCCTGCTGATGGCTTCTCTGATTTTAAGCTTCTTGCAGAGCATGGGATTCATCTGGGATGTGAAATGTGTCAAAGTGTTGTTTTGCATGTAATAGAGGAACACAGGTTCTTCAGAGCTAGCAGAGATTTAAAGCAGCAGTAATATTGCAGAGGCTAAGAAGCAAATATATCCAGTCCTGTCAGAATTTACAGCCTATGAGTGTTTTCTTACTATTCTGCTGGTCTTCAGTTTTAATCTTTAGCTGCTTCAAAACTTTGTTGGCTGGTTGATTCTTATTGAGTGATAATAACATCCTTATGCACATTTGTCTGTCAGTTAGTATAGGGTTAGGATGTGTCTGTTGTATAACTGATTAATCCCAATTCTTTCAAACAAGTAAAGCAATGAAGAGAACTTAATCCTGCAACAAAAATGTGAAGAATATTGCTTTCCTGTTACCATGGTGGAATGTTTGCTGTATTAGTTAAAATTAAACAAAACTGTGTTTGATGCTAGAGTCAGCATGTCAGCTTGCTAACAAGTGAGGTTGATATTCTTTTCATGGTTTAATCTGGAGAGTGGCTTCTTATCACAGTATCTGCTCAGGCACTTGACTCCCATATCTGTCTCCTACTGCCTGGTTGGCTGCATCAGAGCTTGTTACCCTCTTGCTTTTGTGCTTGATCTCACTATGTCCTTTAGTTAAGTGCTTGCTTCAGCAGTATCATCATATTTCTCCCTGAAAAAATAAAGTTACCGTTTGGTTATCTTTCATAGAAAACTAAAGGCTGGTTTGAGTTGGAAGGGACCTTAAAACTCACCCAGTTCCAACCCCTGCCATGGGCAGGGACGCCTTCCACTAGACCAGATTGCTCCAAGCCCCATCCAAGCTGGCCTTGAACACTGCCAGGGATGGGGCAGCCACAGCTTCTCTGGGCAACCTGTGCCAGGGCCTCACTGCCCACAGCATTATCTAAGATGTCCTTAAATGTCCTGTTCTGGCTTATGAGTATTTAAAATGGAACCATGACTTTGGGTTTGGTTGTTTTGTTGTTTGGGATGTTTTGTTGCTTGTGGTGGTTGTTTTCTCCAGCTCCCCACTCCTTCCCCCCTACCCCCATTGCTTTGAATAAGTCACTGTCCTGATATCAAACTCCCTGTTTGGTTTGTCTCTGTGCTTGTTCCCTCTATACTTACCTGGGACCAATTTCTGGCTTCTCGGGAGCCCTGAGCATAATCGCACTCCCCAGGGAGAAACCACATGTTGTAAAGGATATCCAGAGTTCCTTTGATATGTGGCTTTGATATCTGGCTTCTGTCTCTTGCTTTTCTCAGCAAGCTAAACCTATGCTGATAATGCTGTCCTTTGCAAATACATTCTAATCTGATACTAACTTCAGGCTGCTATTCTGTGTTGCATCCGTCTATCTATTCCCCTCTCATTCCTTTCACAAATTTAGTTTATTGAGTTAATGCTATAAGCGTGCTTTTAACTGTCTTTACTCTACTTTCTGTCTCATTCTTGCCTAAATTGGATTCTCTTGAGGCATACTTTTTTAAAAAAACAAAAAAATGTAATCTGAAGGAATAAACCCTTTGATCTCAGGAATATAGGAATACTATGGGATTACACTAAAGTCACTTCTAATTGTTTCCAGAAAATAACTTTGCTTTCTCTTGCCAGTAAAGCAGCTGAGACCCTGCTCTGAGATTTCCTTTCCCAGTCTCCAGAGTGCAATCTGGAAAAGAAGCATTGGCTTGGAAGAAGTATAAATCACTTGGATATTGTAAAGTGATTTTTCTGTCTGGATTAGCCAGATTCATATCTGGTGTAAAGGAGGGAGTTAGTTCAGAATTCAGTCTAAAGAGAGATGCTTCTGTTTAAAGACTTCCAAAAGCTACATTTGCTTACCTTATGTTTTATCATCAGTAGATGCTTGTGCAAAGGGCCTACACGTTGCTTTTCTTCTGCAGCTTGGCAACAAATACCGTCGTACAGACATACAACACTGGCCGCCCTGTCTGGAGCTGCTGCTGGTGTCTCGATGACACAAACTACATCTATGCTGGGTTGGTCAATGGCTCTATCATGATATATGATTTGAGATACACAAACTCTCATGTCCAGCAACTAGTCCCACAGAAGTCTAGGTATGGTGTAAGGACTTTTCATTCTTCTCAACTTTGCTAATATGCATAGCTGCTTCTATAAATCACCTAGCAGTAGTTTAAATTGTTTCATGTGAATGTCTTGACTGAAAATCCAAATTTGGCACAGATGTGAGAAGTCTCTCCTAAGGTTGCACAGTGTATGTATAATTTAGCATGAGTGCTTGGCACTTGTCTAAGGCACACAGGAGTCAGAAATGGACCCATTGGTGCAGCCTAAGCAAGAAAACTGAATTTGTTCTGGAGATGGGTTTAATGTCTAACTTGTAAAGGACAAATTACAAAGAAGTGTGAGATGCTGGTACTTCCATCTCTTCTGCTCAGAGAATCAAATGCTGATTTACCCCATAGGTTTGATATGTGCTCTCTGATGCTTCCTTAAATATAAGGCTCAGTAGTTAATTTATTCTTGACAAAGCCATTGGGGTTCACTTGTTTGAAAGACCATCTTGTAGCCTCCTGAGGCCCATTCTTTGGAGTGCAATTGGAGAGGCTGGAGCTCTGAAACAGTGAGGCAGGAAGCCAGCAGGGCTGCAGCTGCCAGCACTGATCCTTGCCCACCTCCCTCTCAGGTGTCCCATGGTGTCGTTGTCCTATCTGCCCCGGATGGCCTCAGCTTCACTACCCTACGGTGGAATTTTAGCTGGGACCTTGGAAGGAGCCTGCTTTTGGGAACAGAAAGCTGGCAACTCTTACCAGCCTCATCACCTGCCACTGGAGGCTGGAGGATGCATTGATCTTCAGGCAGAGATCAGCACACGGCACTGCCTCGCAACATACAGGCCCAGTATGTAATGCCATGTCTGCAGTGCACTTTTCACTTCCATGCTGGCCTGCTGCTGGTGGAGCTCAACAGCAGCTCCGTGTCTAGGGCACAGCACAAATGTAGTACTTGCCCCAGGCAGAGCACTGGGAATCATAGAATCATATAATGGTTTGGTTTGGAAAGGACCTTACAGCTCACCCAGTTCCAGCCCCCTGCCATGGAGGCTTCCACTAGACCAGGTTGCTCCAAGCCCCGTACAAGCTGGCCTTGAACACTGCCAGGGATGGGGCAGGCATAGTTCCTCTGGGCTACCTGTGCCAGGGTCTTGGCACCCTCACAGGGAAGAACTTCTGCCTAACCTGAACTTCCCCTGTTTAAGTTTAAACCCATCACCCCTTGTCCTATTCACTACAGTCCCTGATGAAGAGTCTCTCTCTGGCATCCTTGTAGGCACCTTCAGATATTGGAAGGCTGCTAGAATCTCCATGGAGATAAGAATTGGGTGAGGGCAGAAGGAGGCAGCTGCAGGGTGGTGCTGCTTACATTCCTACAGTTAAAACTTGTCTGCAATTAAATTACCTCTTTATTTCTGCCTTACAGGTAAAAGTAATCCATGTGTGCGTTGTGTGATGATGGAGCTGACTTGCAGCCCACTGGCAGAGGCCTCTAAAGACCTTGTGTGTTCTTCTAATCTGGTTCAGGCTTTCAGTGCTGGGCCCATCTGCAAGCTGCTGACCAAGAATGCCATTTTCCAGAGCCCAGAGGAGGACGGCAGCATCTTTGTGTGTGCTGGTGATGAGGCATCCGCTTCTGCCCTGGTATCTCTTGTTTCTTTCAGTGTGGTGAGATTTATTGGGGTTCTTAGGAGAGAAGCCTTATCAGTCACAGTATCAGTGGGTTTTGGTGGGAATGGCCTTGTCAGGCACATCAGCCTGTGCAGGTTGGGCTGCTATACTTGCTGTAGCAGGTGTAATTTTCTGATAGTGTGGGACTGTTTGTATTAGCCATGGCCTGTGGTCCACATCCATCGAAAGGAATGTAGGGCAGTGTCCACCAGAGGATTGTGGGTGGGCATGCTGAAACAACTGGGTACTGTAAATGGTGTAACGCTCAGTAGGACAGCTCACATGGTAAGTGCTGTGAGGGACAGACTAACGCTCTTTGGGAATGACTGGAAAGGCGAGGAAAAAAGTTGCACTTTGTAAAAAGGCAGCTCAGAAGCAACCGATGGACAACAGCCTGTATGAGAGCTCATGGGTCAGGGTGAGAGGAGAGGGCACTGAGGGTGGCATCATGCTGCAAGTCTGTGAAAGAGCATCCAAGCAGGGTGTGAAGGTAGAGAAAGGGTCCTGTAGGTCACTTGAGGAAAGTCTCTGCAGAGAGAGGAAGCTCTGTTCTGGATGGGAGGGGAGAATCCTGCAATCTTTGACCTTGTCTGTCCCACAGCTATGGGATGCTGGAAGTGGGTCCTTGCTGCAGAAGCTGCAGGCTGACATGCCTGTGCTGGACATCTGCCCCATGGAAGTGAACCAGGCCCACCTCCTGGCTGCTCTGACAGAGAAGATGGTGACGATCTACAAGTGGCAGTGAGAGTGGTCCCTATGCCTGCCAGAGAGGCTTTCCAGATATGCTGCTGATTAACCCTACACAATGCTCCATCCTAGACTGCTGTCCTACAGGTGCTGCTTATGGGAGACAGGAACTGCCATAGCCCTTTTTTTGACAGCAGGCAGAAACAGGCATGTCCTGGTGACAGGAGCAGTTCCCTGTTTCCTCTATCTTCCTTCTAGGCTTGCCTGTATTTCAACTCTGTGACTCTCTCATTTGGTCAGTTTTCTTCAGCCAAACTCTTCAAGCTGCCTCAGAACAGCAATAATTCTTGGCCTCTCTCTAGTGTGTGTTACTGATTTTGTTTTTCCCAGTATGAATAGAATACAGGGACTTGCAAATCTCTTCTATGAATCAACAAAGTAAGAGGAAACTTGAAAACCTGAGACTCCCACTGCACTTTTCCTATGGAGTCCTGCTGTGATTACTGGTAGTGAAGAGGTGGCAATATTGGCATCTCGCTAGCATTGCAGACACAAGAGTATGTTTCCTAAAGCTGGGTGTTCTTTTGAAGATCTAGGGTCAGTTGGCAGTTATTCCTTGACAGGGACAGACCCTGTTTTGTGGCTATGGAGAGAACAGGCTTGGAAGATATACAGAGAACCTTTTTCTGTGGGTTTTACTTTTCCTTGAGCATATAATTTGCACTGCAATTCCTTAAGTCTGTACCCTCATTTCCTTCCCCTTCTCTTCCCTGCTTCACCCACAAGCAAACTTGGGACAGTTTGGCTGTGGAAAAAGAAGCTGTAGTACTAAAGAAGGACAGGTAAGAAAGAGGGAGATGATTCTTATACTGTTGGCTGCAGCATCTCATGGTGTCCTTCCTTAAAGACAGTGAAGTACCAAAACAGCCAGAACCTTTGAAAAGAATGCTGGCTGCTTTTTGGGGGATTTTATTTTCTTTTTTTTTCATTTTGAGGAACTGGTGAGAACTTTGGGGATGTCATCAGCTTGCTTTCTCTGACCTTTTACCTGTCTTAAATCCTAGCTGTCAGCTCACCAGCTGGTCACAGACAGTTTCCAGTTGTACTTGTGTGCAAGTGTGCTACAGACTTAACTGGTGGATGTAAATCTGTGCCCATCAGGTGGGATCACAGGTTGGATGTGTGCTGGCCAGGTGGGCTCTTAAACCCCTTACCTAAGGATATGGTGAGGGGCGTGAAAAGATTTCTACTTCACTTTCTGTATTTTCTGTATAGTATTTTGTTCCTCTATTTTTATATGCTGCAATGTATTATAGAAATAAAGTTTGTCATTTTCAAATGCAACTGATGCTGCTGTACTTAATGTTTTTGTGATGCACGCTGTGCATCTTGTAAACATAAACCTGCATGTAGGTGAGGTTACTCAGCCTCAGACTGAAATAAGGAAGGCGTTTAGTGAGCCAAGAGCCCTCACTGAACCACTCTGCCCTGACCAGATGTGGGGAGAGGGAAGGGCTGAGCAGAGTCAGCCTTTTAACCGAAAATAAACTTGCTGATGTCTGACTTTTTGACAATTTAACAATGATCAGGAACAAAAGGTTAGTATAGAGAATAGCGTGAGAAGTTCTCCAACTAAAACTGAGAAGCGGGCCAACAGTACAATGAGATGAGCTGCTCATTCTCAGCCATTTTTCAGGCATCATCAATGTCTCATCTTCAACCCTCAGCCCATTCTTCACACAAGAAATATGGAAAATTTTAATCATGCATAGGAGAAGGAATTAAAAGACCTCTCAGCTTTGAATTTTTCAGGTAGCACTTGTTTTCTATTTTATACTGCCCTACAGGAATAAGAGGTACAAACTTAAATGCCATTAAAATTATAATGGGAGATGATACTTTCATGTTATCTCCATTTTCACATCCAGGGGGTTAAAAAAATTCAAACATGAGATGTGGAGAACCTCAAAACCCTCTCCTTAGTCCCAGATTGACAGCAGGCTCCAGGAAACCCCTGACGCTGTGTGCAGAAAGCTATCTGCACTGAGGGCTGCTAAGAGGTCAGATGTGTTAAGTATTTACTGATTTCTGCCAGGAGTCAAAGGGGCAGATTCTGGGACAGAAGGAAGAAAAGCATCAGTGTCTCTGCACAATCCATGGCAGAGCTGCTTCACTGGTGTTTTAGGCACTAAGTCACTGTGTGGGTATTTCTGCCTTGGAGATGATTTTGTTACTGAGGAGCACAGTGGCCCCTTGAAAACTCCTGTAGTAAATCTGGTGTGAGGCAGTAAGTAAAGCTGGGCAGCACAGCAGCTCCTGCTCTTAGCTGTACACAGCCATGCTTTAATATTTGTCTCCAGGCTGTTTTTTGTTTCACCTTTTTTTACTAATTTGAATTCTTGTGTCACCACATCCAAGGAACAGCACAGTACTGGCTAGAGCAGGCTATGGTGGCAAGCTGGCAGGAAACCCAGGGATGATACTGGTCCCTACAGCTCCCTGTGGAGGAGAGTTGGCAAGGAAGAGGAAGACAGAGTTGGAGGAAGCAAAGTTTTCCAGAGAAGGTCTGTCCTCTGCATGTGTCTCTAACAGGTATGATCCTGCATTAGGCTGCAGTGAGAAAAAGCCTAGGCAGGGAAGGGTGAGGAGGCAGCCAGCTCGTGCCTGGCCTCATGCCATCAGGACTTTGCATCTACGTGTGTGATTTAGCCCTCAGTTTGGAGCAACTCAGGCATGAATTTCAACAAACATAATCCAAAGTGTTGCAAATGATAAAAGGTAGTGCTAAAAAAGTGTGAGGGAAGAAGTGACCCCTCCGTGATTATGCATGCATGTGAGGCAGGACCTGCTAGCACTTCTCTTGGATCTGGTGGTGCCTGTTGCTTCCTGGAGGGCAGAAAAGCAGCCATTTTATGTGTCCTGAATGAAACTGGATTAAAATCAAGCAATGCAGCAAGTGAAACAGCTTAATCTACACTGAGGTAGTCAGAGCATCCTGGTGGGATTTCCTTTAGTTCTCCTTTTTGGTTTGCAAGGAGATGCAGTAAGCTTTTCTGCTAATGTAGATAAGCAGATGTTCTACCAAGGTAGTAAATTCCTTAAAATACTGGCTTACGAAAGAGAGAATAGGAGGAAAAGGAGTTCAGGGAGAAGGGAAACGAAGGAATGAAGAAGCAAAACATAGTTTTCAGTTTGATTTGCATAGACTGCCAGAATGAGTAAATGTGAAAGAAGAGATTTCACTGCTGGGAGAGGCAAGCATGGTCTCCCTGCCACGACGGCACTTTTGACTTTTTAGTAGCAAATCTTCAGTAAAGATTTTTCCCATTTATGCTGTGACTTGGCTGATTGCCTAAGCACTGTTCAAGCCTAGCTGCATCCCTAATCCCTGCAGAGGTGCCTGCAAAATCAAGCAGAAGGGCTTGTAGCACTAGCAGTGGGACCGCTGCTGTCCCATGCGAGTGCTCAGCCTGCAAAGTCAAGCACATTGATGTTAACAGCCTCCCTGACTTAAGGGAACAATATTTATCATTGTCTATTTGCTTTTGAGAGAAAGATATTTAAAGACGGTGCTGAGAAAGGCAGAAATGTTTCTTTGCTCAAAGAGATGGGCTGTGCTCAGGCAGCTTCAGAGCTCCAGGTGCCCTGGCGTCACAGAGCACTGGGTGCTGTGCGGTGCATGTCCGTAAGAAACTGATGCCCTGGTACAATGGAGTTCATGGGTAGCACCAACGGCATGCGGGACATTGTTCCTACCCTATTTATTGCAAAACAGGACCTCTAAATAGCAAAAAAATAGAGGAGTTTGGGGAATTATGCCCTAAAATGCTGTTCTAATCCTTGGAGCAAACTCAGCAGGTAACAGCTGGTTTAAAAAAATGCTTCAAACTAATTTCAGTGATTATCCCACTCCATGAAGCATAATTTAGTTTGAGAGTCCAGGGGTTTAGTCTTGCATCATGTCCAATCTGGTGCTTTTCTAGCAGCAGAGGTTTCAGAAGGGGGCTTCCAAAGGCGTCAAGCCAAGTTGCAGCAGCAAGTGCTTGTGAAGGCAGAAGCAGAATTGGAAAAGAACTGTGTCAGGTTGGAGGAAGGACTGGAAAATTGCTCATATTTATTTTTATAAAAGGTTGGAGTTAACTGCATAAATACATGGGGAGCAACAGGCAGTAACAAGCTGGAGCTTCCGATGCTTTGTGAAGCAAAGGCAAGCTCTTGGTTAAAACAAGGGCCAGTAAGAAACCTGAAGAGGGGCTTTTGACAAGGGCCTGTAGGGATAGAACAAGGGGAAATGGCTTTAAATTGACAAGAGGGCAGATTGAGATTAGACATGAGGAAGAAGTTCTTCCCTGTGAGGGTGCTGAGGGCCTGGCACAGGTTGCCCAGAGAAGCTATGGCTGCCCCATCCCTAGCAGTGTTCAAGACCAGTTTGGATGGGGCTTGGAGCAACCTGGTCTAGTGGAAGGTGTCCTTGCCTGTGGCAGGGGTTAGAACTGGGTGAGCTTTAAGATCCTTTCCAACTCAAACCACTCTGTGATTCAGAGCAGTGCCCATGGCCTCATGGGAGCAAGCAGTCTGTATACAATTAAAAATTGGAGCAGCTCCTCTGCCTGGAAAGAGGAAGAGCTTTTCTGCTCCCCAAAGCAATGATGACACTGCTGGGAAGGAGCAAGAGGCATCCCAGCAGCTCAGCTCACTCCATCCTCACCCTGCAAAGCTGAGGCTATATAAATGCATTTTTATTGCTTGAAGTGGTGAAACTTAAATGTGGTCCCCACTACAAAGCAGACCACTGCGAGCACTTAATGCAGCACTCATCCAAGAGCCTTGATGGTAACATGCTTAAAAAGTGGCAACAAGTGAATTTCCACTGAGCCTGTGATGAGGGAAAGGGGCAGCAGTTGCAATGAGCTGCAGCGGTTACTGCATGGGCAGAGATGTCGCTATATGCAAAGAAATACCTCTTCCTTTTTTGACTTGCTGTGTGGACATGGTGAGCATAGGGCCCTTTATGAAATGCTTATTTAATGGTGGATTACACAGGATGGTAAAATCCAAAGTTGAGAGGAAGTTTTTCAGCATAGGATGCTCTGCAGAAGGATGTAGGCTGCTCCACAAAACAAATTAGTCTCCAGAGAGCTCCCAAGGGTGTGGGAAGGAGAAGAGAGCTGCAACCCAGATCCACTGCTCCCCTCTGTCCCCGTCCTGCCATGGATGAAGGAGCAAAGCCAGCTCTTGTGCTGGGTTAGCTCCTTGAATAACTTCCACCGAGCCAAAGAGGCTGCAAAGCACAGGCTGGATTATGCTGGCTTTTGTTTTCAAGTGTTCCCAGCTGTGCAGCCCATGGGTGCCAGCACACAGCCACTTTCCTAAGGGCCGTGTCCCCGTGTGACACTCAAATGCAACACCCTGCTACCCTGCTGTGAATGAGGCAGCTAGTGGTTGGTTGGTGCCTGCAGTTGGCTCCAAATTGCTCATGGTGTTCTGGTAGCTCCTGGTGTATGTTAGTGGCTGGTGGCATCCCCAAAAGAAGGGCTTTGTACAGGC